GCTGAAAAAATGGTTCTAGGGTTAGGGTTAGATGAAGCTGTGTTTTTAAATGGATGCAAAGAAGAAGGTGACGGGTTATGGCCTCGTCCATATACAACTTAAGCCCAAAATTCACTTTCAGTCCTTCCTTCTCAATTTCTTCTCAACTTAGGTCCATAACTTACCAAACAACCCCCAACTTTTAGAATTCATTACAATTCAAGTCCTAATATTACAATATAGACCCCAAATTCTAGAATTTTACCATTTAACTCCTTATGGCTAATGCTGATAAATTACTACGGAAATAGGGCTAAAATAAAATAAAATATAAAATACATCTCGGGGTTTTAGGGCTTATTATTTATTTATTATTATTATCCTTATTTATTTATTTATTTATTTACTTATTTTATTTTATTTATTTCATTTTTAAACGAAATGTTACATTATCCATAAGAATGGTCCCAACAAACAAGATCCGGTCTTTAAGTCTCAAAGAAACCCAAAAGTGCATCTTTTTCAGCTTAATCCATTAAGTACAAGTCTCCAACCTTCATATCTGAAACCAAATGATGTTTAGATGGATAAAGTTTCCAACGCTATCCATAACAAGGTCATAGAATTTCAAAATCTAAACTTTATGCACTTAAAGTGGCCAAAAGCTCATAACACCCAAAACTAGCTAGATCTAACAATTTCAACATCAAGATTCAAACTTTATACATCTATAAGAAAGATCAAAGTGAACAACGTTTTGATCTACAAGCTCTAATGATACCAACACTTCTTCAATGAGTTCCTTCTTCTCCAAGGTGCACCAAGAACACTCTAAAGCACTTAAAACACTTTCTTTTCGTTCACAAGGCTCAATCTAGGGTTAGGGTTACAAGAGAGGCTGTTGGAGAGGTGGGGGCTGGGAATGGAATGGTTTGGGGAAGTTAAGGAGCTTAAATATGGCTTAAACCATGAAAATAGGGTTTGGGCACTGATCGTGTATGCCCAACATACTCAAATTATGCTCAACGTACTAGGGGTGCCCTATTACGCCCAACATACGTGGCTAAACCCCAAAACAACCCTAACTTCAAACGGTTGTAACTTCTTCGTTCTAACTCCATTTTTGACGATCTTTATATCCACACAAAGGTATTGAAGAGATCTACAATATTATATACATATCTTGGACTAAAAACTTCTTGAACAAAAATCCATATTTCATGCAAGAACCCAGCCTATAACTTTTCCTGTTTTACCCTTTGACTCCAAAACACAATTCAAAGGTTTAGATCTCATAACCATCATTACCTCCTTCCAAAAGGTTTAAACATCGCCTCCTTAAGGCCAAAACCTTTATACAATCTACTTTTAGCCGACGGCCCTGAATCACAGAATGATCCCAAACAGGGTGTTACACGTAAGTTGGCTGTCGTTGACCATGGGTCAAATGGTCACCATGGCGCGGTGAATACCCCACAACGGGGCGATCCTAAGGCCAGAAAACAGCTTTTAACCTGTTAAGAGCTTAATTTGATCCATTTGAAATGGAGGAGGAATTAGGAGCTCAAAGGTCACGATTTTGTTGGCAATTTCATGCTGAGAGAAGCTATAGATCGTGGGTTGTTAGGATTTTCATCTTCTCCACAATAAGGTATGATTTCTCTATTTGAGGAAATGTTTAAATTGGTTAGATTGATTGGTTTAATCAACCTATAGATTGAGTATGATGCTATTGATAGTGCCTAGAAGCTTAACCAAGCTTTGGAAGTGATTTTTATGGTGAAATCAATCCAATGAGGGTTAGGGTTTTGAAACCCTAACTAGTCATTAATGATTGATGCGTTAGATGTTAGATTATGATGAAATAAGTAGTATGGGATGTTTAATTCATTGTTTGCATTAGATTAGAAATAGAAAATGCGAAGTTAGAAATATGATCCATTAAATGGTCGTTTTGACCATAAGTGTCATTAAGCTCTTAATAAGATAAAACATGTATTAAGAAGATTGAATATGTGTATGAATAGGCCTAAGAGAAAATAATATGGATCAAGGTGCATCAATCAAAGAATGGATCCAATGGTAAGTTATTACCCTCACTCCCTCTCTCTTGATTATGTTATACATATTTATATGCTTTTATGTATGTTTGTATGTAAGTATCATTATTTGAGCATGATATACAGAAATAACATATAGGAATATATGTACCATAATCTTATGTAAAATTATGTACTTGTGGTTATACATTTAAGATCATGTAGCTGAGTATGTATGTATAACGAAAGTATGTACAGATGTATAAGGGAAGGATAAGGGTATTATGAGCAATACCTATAAGAGTAGATAAAGAAAGAATAGGATTATATGTATTAAAATCCCGAGATAAAGAGAAGAATGTCCATGGGACAAGTATTATGCGATGAGTCACATAATAGAGATAAATATGCTTAGAAATATGATTCCTGTAGGAATGAGATACAAATTATTACGGGAATAAGAGTAGTATTCCATCAGGAATAAAGAGTATGATTCCTACGGGAATAAGAGTATTGTAACATCCCAAAACTAATAGAAAAATTTTCATTTTTAATAGGAAAAACATTTAATATATATATGTCATAAAAGATCAGCAATGCCAAATAGTGTTTCAGAAGGAACATCAGAGTATCATCATAAGAGTGAAATCTCTTGTGGATGAGATGTAATCATGCCAGACCTTTCCTTCTTGAACTAAAAGTTGTTAAACTACAAAACCGTAAGCACAAAGCTTAGTGAGTTCTCCAAAATACCACATACCAAATAAATGGACCTAGCCCATACAAGCAAATGGGCCAAACCAACATATAACAAATGGGCCCAAACCAACATACAAATGGGCCCCTCATAATAATAAATGGGCCCAACTTAACATACAATATATGAGCCCAACACACCATACATAATAATCGGCCTAACCCAACATACATAATAATGGGCCCAACCCAAACCTACACATGCAAGAGTCACAAAAACAACTAGTACAATTCAGTGGGCCGACATTGGTGTCTTCGACCCACGAGCATAATAAGAAGACTCACCTCAATTCTACAGACAAACAGTCCTCACACACGGCTGTAGGAACTGGAACTCCTCACTCTAAACAATACCCAATAAGACCCTAATTAGCGATCAAGGTAATAAATTATACATGAGGGTCTTAATCATAACATTCTTACTTTTTTGGAGGTAAAAGACCATTTTACCCTTCTACGCCTATTACTTGGCCCTCAATCCAATTGTTATTAACCAAGAACAATTGTTAATATAACAATCAACCTTGAAACTTTCTTTATTCGAGCTGCTTATCTTATACTGAACAACCCCTCCCCCTCAAGGCATCTTTTTCCAATAGCGATATTAAGCACGTCTGTGCCGTCGAATATATGTAGAAGCTCGATCTTTTGAACTGGGTCTACCATCTGTGATGGAATGTTGACATTATAACGCCTGGACATGAAGGCAAAGGGGGCATACAATCCAATATGGTATCTAAATACATATGTTTAGGTTCATCATCCAATTCTTCTCCATCAAAATTATTCTCTAGGTCAGATATATCTAAACAACAATCTACAAACTCCCCGTATCCATCTAGTTCAACATCATTCAAAAAACAAAACTTTTTTTGTTCCCAGTTTCAATATCGACCTGATTAACTATACATTGTGGTTTGTGCTCAAAATAATCATGTGCACCCACATCATTAAATGTATGTACTAACATCATTATCACTAACGTACTTATAATTATCAGGTTCCACATATAGAATCGGTTGATGCATAATGTTTCTATTTTCAACAACACTATGATATTGAGTGTACACTATGAGTGATAAAAGTACATATTGAATTGTTGCTCCCTTTTCCGTTGAATATGTTTGCAGTACATGACTTTTCTACATCGTTGCCTTCATTAGCACCATCACCTTCATCAACCATCATATAACAACACCATCATCAGGGGTATGATATCACCATCATCAACTATGGTACAATAATACTACAAGGATGTTAGAAAGAAAAATGAACAATTCGATTTATCTACCAAACCAGTCTTATTTTTCACCAAATTTAGAGAGTTATTAAAATTGGTGGTCTTTGAAATGTCACACCATAATTAGCTGTATTTCTTGCTAGTATAACTAAAATGAAATATTCAACAGAACTCATTTTGATAATTAAAAAATAACACTCATATTTTATTTTCTAAAAAATATTATGAACAAAAATGATCAAGATACCATATGTCAAAAAAATTATAACCGCGATGTTACCTTTAGGACTTTCATGATAATTTTCTTAGCTTTCAAAAAAAATGTGATTTTCTAAATATATATAGTTTTTTAGTGGATAATCATTTATTTGAGATGTTCTAATATGTGTATATATAAGAACTATTAATTATGGAAAGTATTACTATTAAATGTGAAATTCATTAATTATGAAAAATATTTTTTATAATTAATTAATTTCATATTTGATTATAGTAATATTTTCTATTATTAATATTTCAATTAATATTTATTGTATTTTTTGTATGGGTACATATTAAAAAATCCTTTATTATTTCTTCTTTTTAATATTTAAGGGGTGTTTGGATTAGATTTTTAGTTTATTGCTTATAGCTTATTTGTGGTGGGAATAAGCAATAAGCAATAAGCATGGGGATGGATGTTTATTAAAATTAGCTTATTTAGTCTAATAAGCTGGATTTTATCCAAACACTTAAATTAGCTTATCGTGGGAATAAACAATAAGCATTTTTTTTCCTATCCAAACACCCCCTTAGCATTAGCATTAGTACAATATTTAAAGAAAAACCCAAAAGTTTATTTTACCTTCATGCACACCACCGCCACCACCGGCGACACTGAAAGATCCAAAATTTGGTGTGTTTCGTCTCTCCGCCGACGATAAGCATCCACAAAAAGCAGAAGTGCTTGGAACGTTAAATGGGCCATTTAATTTGACTAATCGTTCATGTTGACGGAGGATCAGATTCTGAATCCCAGGTAACACTTTGGACCTTGTTTTCTTGACTTTAGTCAATTAGGTGTTTTTAGACTTTACAATTCGGTATCGTGGTTGGGGGTATTGTAAAGAATAGTGTTTTGGGACTTTATGATTGTGCGGTTTTGGAGTGGTATCAATATGATACTCGGGTATATTTTCTTAGTTTTTCTTGATCTGCGTGTTTTTTTCGTCATTATGATTTGTTTTCGTTATTCTTTGTTTAAATGACGTAGATGTTGATATGATGCAGTTTTCTCTTTTCATATATTTTGAACACTGTATCTTGAAGACTTAGCTGAAACCTAAAATCAACTTTTATTAATCTCGTGAAACAAATACAACTGAAACTCGCTACAATTCCCTTAACCTGCTCTCAAGAACACAAACCCTAACACACATTCATTACACATATGAGCAAAGCGAAATATTAAAGGAAAAAAATGTCTGACTCCTTTTAAAAGAAACTTAGATGCGTAAAACACAAAGCGAATGAAACAAATTCCTGACATTATATTGGTCACAGGTTACAACACAGCCCCTCTATCTCCACAACAGTCTGCAAACAACCCTCCAGTTTCAATGTTCCACTTTGTTGAACTCTGAAATAACAAGACACAAATAAGTATTGAACACCTTAATTTATTCATGAATGAATCAATGGCTGAATATATAGCTAGTACAAAGCTAATTGTGCGAAAGAAAATCCACTACGGCTAAAGAGTAGGAACGGATAACAAGAAGCTAAAGAACAGGAACATAAATCACTGATGCCTAAACTATAGGCATTTTATTTTCTAACGATATCTCCAACAATGCCTCCCCGCTATCTAACTGTTTAATCTTTACATACTCCGAGCTTGTGGCGTAGCCTGGTGAACATGATAAGCCCATTGATTGATATTCTGGAATAAAATACTAAGTTGACAAAGGATGCATGACTCAGGGCTATTTGTTTATCTCTTAAAAATTCAGAAGTAGGGTGTTTGATAGCATTTTATTTTATGCCACTTAAAAAAAATAAGGTAACCTCTTAAAAACTGACATGTGATTGCATCTGAAAAAAATAAGGGAACGCGTGTTTCCTGTTTTGCCCACAACGACGCAACCTCTTTTTCCCCTCCCAACCATCAACGACGCCTCTCCTCCACTCCACACTGCTACAACTCCGATCCCCTCTCCTGCTGCCGCCGTCAGATTCGCCTGTGGCGCCTTCGTCTCCTGCTCCAGCTGCATCGCCTCCGGCATCATCTCCGGGTTTTCCCTTGATATTTCAACCCCACTTTCCCTCTTCTCTTTCAATACACACGACGTTCCCTCACCCACTCCATTTTCGGAACCAGCCGGCCGGATCTTTCGCCAGTGCTGTCATCGCCGAAGCCTTCCAGGTCCCTCATCGACAACTCAACTTTTGGTAAGGTTATTTTTCCCCTAAAACTCGATTATTCTGTTTCAATCCCAATCCCAAACAGCATTCAAGCACGATGGTGAAAGTAAGCATTTTGTGTCGCTCTCTCCATCAATTTTTTTGGCTTGATTTTGTCGATCCTACCCCTTGTGTTGTTGCCCCTGTTCATCAAAGTGATTGCTACTTGTTATGTTATATTTCAATTTTGATCTGATGTGGTCTATATGTGTTCATTCGAACATACAGCGAATGGTTTTACTTGATTGAACATACTTGTTTGATTGGAGTCGAACGCAATTGAGTCAATTGTGTTCATCGCAGTCAAACATAAAAAGTCAAAATTGAATTCTTATTTGTTGATTTAGTGAATTTCAATTCTAGTTTTGTTCATGTTGATAGCGAATGGCTCGATATTGAGATTGGGAAGTCAGGTTTGATACCTGGATAGCCAAGATGACACAGTCGATTGGAATGATTGGAAACTATTGGCTAGTAATTATAATGAAATATTAGGTTGTTTAGTTTTCATTGTATTTTTTTTTGTAATATTGGGTGTAATGTTTAGCATTCTACTTTCATGGATTTTTTTTCAAAGATACCATGGATTTTTTTTCTAGAGGAAAGCTTGACTACAAAATATCTGGATACCTTTTTCCAGCAGCCACCAGTGCTATAGATACTAGTAATAAAAGACAAAAAATGGAATGCCAGCACACAGATCACAAAACCTGCTGTTTCCACTACCTTGTCTACCAATACCACTACTATAGTGCTTACTTCATAAAGACAAAATCCCAGCAAACTAATTAAATACACAGAGAATGTTCAACCAAATGCAGTCCAGAACAAATTGGGATTTGGGCCACAGCATTTCATTAGGAGGTCAAGACTTGGTATTGACCGGGCTTATCGGCCCAAAATTTCACCTTGAGTTTGACACTCTAATACCCCTGGAAGAGGAACCCTTGGTTTGGAATTTGCAAAGCTTGCAATAGACAGTGAGTAGTGAGTTTCCTGGTGTTATTTTCTACTGATTCACTCACTTTTAATTGTTTTCTTCCATACTCCATCTTTCACTGCTTCCTCGAATGTGTTTCGATCTTCAACAACTTCTACCATACAGTTGTTGATGAGTTCGTGTTCTCGAGTATTTTCTTCTCCTTTAATGAATAGTTGTAAGCTTGTAGATAATGAGGAAGCCTTCTAACTCTTGTGGGCCTTTGTGACCCTTCGACAACATTGTTACCTGTTTTTCTTTTGGTGTTGTAGATTAAATAACTTCTGGTTCTGGAATGAGAGATGGCACATCTCTTGAAGTCTCGACTTCATCTTCTTGTTCATAGGCTTCTTCTTTTGGGTTGATTAGTAATAGGAAAAACTGTAAGTAGGATGCTATAATAAACAAATCAATGGAAGTAAGTTTTTATTTATTGCATTTCACACGAGTGTAGAATTTCGAATCAATAATTTTTTACATCCTTTTTGCAGCTTGTCTGGTGAACTTTGAAAAGATACAATTCTAATCCAGATTACAAGCTCTTGCATGATCAAAGTATCAAATTTCTTTGTTGACGATTCAAGATGTTATATAAATTTATTTGCAAAATTGATACTTCATAAGATACGGGCACATTGATTTGCAAATGAATTTGCTAGAACAGCTTACTTGTATGTTTAATGTCAAAAGTTGAACGTAAGAGAGATGATATTTGCCATCAAGCGCCATGTATAGTGTTGGTGTTGGTGTTTGTGAACACTAAACACTTACTTGTATTCTTAATTAATGTGCATCACATTTCAAAACATGAATGTTGGTATGTAGTTTTTGGTGAAAACTAACAGATTTATCTGACTTTGTGGGAGTGCTGATATTTAAATTTTGGTGAAACATTGGAATATTATGGAACAATAAAGGAGAGAATGATGTCCAACTCAAAAAGCCTTTTGAGTTGTGTATCTCTCTCTCTCTCTCTCTCTCTCTCTCTTTTAAACCGACAACATGAAATTAGTAGACACCCGGGAAGGATACGAAAAACTAGAAAAAACCGAAAAGCATTTCTAGTCATCAAGTGCAAGCATGTCTGTAATTCAGATATATGAGTCATAAATTTACAACACATGGACATGTAATGTTGGACGAGTTAAAAATTAAAATTATTTACAAAGTGAGGCACACTGCTTGTCTTATACTAAACAACATTCATTGAGTTCTTCATTTCCTCGAGGAGTTGGTCAACCGTTGGATAAAAGACACAGACAACTTCCCCAGATTAACATATGAAATAAGTGATGACGATTAGATTGCTGCAATCTGACAGTTGACACTCACACACCTACTACACCCTTGGTATGGCCGGTATACCCCAAAGCCTAAGAACGATGTCATGGGTCTTGTTATGGGATGATTTCCAATAATACTTGAACCTCAGGGACCATATTTACAACATCATTTGTAATGTAATTCATTTTCCCGATGAGTTGGTCATGTGTTGGATAAAATAACCTATGGATGACCATGTAAGTGATGTATGGAAGAAGTGAAACAACCACAACTAACAGTGTGACGATCCAATACATGGGTGCAGGGCCCACAACTAACAATGTACCAACACAACACGCTCCCACAGATTAACATATGTTGGATCCAAGTGGTGAAGTGAATTATGATGAGAGCAATTTGACAGTTAACTGTCCAAACAATCATGGTGTACATAAACACTCCTAAGTGTGCGATGTCTGCTACTTCTCCTCCATGTCGGAAGGCCGAGTCAGAGAGAATCTGGATGCTTAGAGTGAATATCAAAAGAGATGTAAGTATTCCGTTTCCCATCCAATCCAGGATTTGCCTCCAACTAAATGAAATGCTCTTTTGTCCCTGTTGATAAATGCTTGGAAACTGTACATGCAGCAAGGAACGAAGCAGACTTAGAATTCCAACGATACAAAGATTACTAATTTGATTGCTTTGCAAAAATACCTCAAGGCAACTATGGAAGGAAACGTCTTGACCCAAGACGTCTAACGATATGACATGAAGGAATGTTAGAAGGAGATTGAACATAAGCATATACCATCCGTCATACAAGACAACCCCGCCGAACTTGGTGTAGATTTCAAAATAGAATAACGTAAGGCAGAATACAATGTTTTTGTACATGGAGTAGACAATCTGCAGCAAGAGACCAAGATTTACAGAGTATGTTTATGGTGTTGTGGTATACACCGGACCGGACACCAAAGTGGTCCGCAACTCCATGACATCGCCTTCTAAACGGAGCAGGGTAGTGACAAGGTTGGACAAGGTGATATATGTTTTGTTCTTGATGCTGATAATCATATCCTTGATCACCTCCATTGATTCATCTCGATACACCACAGAGACAGCAAAAGGACATTGGTACCTTCAATTGCTAGAAGGTAGAGATGAGTCTTTTGATCCATGTAGACCATTGATACCTTCTCTTACGTTCAAGTTGTTGGTGTGTCTTCTACATACCTTGATCATGCAAGAGCTTGTAATCATTTGCAAATCAATGTGCCCGTATCTTATGAAGTATCAATTTTGCAGATAAAGTTGTTTAACATCTTGAATCGTCAACAAAGAAAATTGATACCTTGATCATGCAAGAGCTTGTAATCTGGATCGGAATTGTATCTTTTCAAAGTTCACCAGACAAGCTGCAAAAAGGATGTAAGAAATTATTGATCCAAAATTCTACACTTGTGTTAAATGCAAGAAATAGGAACTTACTTCCATTGATTTGCTTATTATAGCATCCTACTTCCAATTTTTCCTATTATTGCATTGTACATTGATAGTTATACTTATACTTGAATACAAAAAAAAATTAACTGATATAATCACTTAGATTTTTAACAAAACATTAAAGAAATAAATATGAAAGTACAGTGCTATATTTCAAAGGATTTTTCAAAGCAAGTTTTAATAAATAAATAAATAAATAAAAGTATATTGAAAGTACAAAATCATGATAAAAAAATGTAAGTATGTGGCTATACTAAACAAATAAATCAAAGTATGTTGCTATTTCTTGCATTTAGACTCGTTAGCATAAAGATTCAATTGTTTCTCCTCATTTTCACACATAAGATCTTTTGGGTTTTTGTTTATGCTGGCATCATAGAAATGTACCTTTCAATTAAAACCAAGAAAGGATAGAACTTACATAGGTCTTGCTGAACAAGATTCCTGCCAGTCACTTTATAATATTCAGCTGTGTTATCTATCAAGATATATGAAACTGAAATCATCAAAAACCCAGATCAACTGTAAGATTCATATGGGAAAACAATGCACTTCTGTTGAAAAATATCATGGCAAGACTTACCATTCAAGTGTCTTCATTCATTTTCATCTCTTGTGACATGGGAGTAGTCAAAGATCTAGTCTATTCATCCATTTTCACCCAGAAGACTTTCAGTCTTTGTTAAATGATGATCAAAATTTCTCATTCTATACTTGGAAGGTGACTTTAATAGTTCTAACTTGGACTGTTTGTGTGTTGGAGATATGGTTTGAGAATATAATGCCTGTAGTTTAGCCATCAGTGATTTATGTTCCTGTTGTTTAGCTTGTTGTCATCCGTTCCTACTCTTTAGCTGCAGTGGCTTTTCTTCTTAGGTCCAAAGATTACTGGAATGCTGTGCAGAATGGGTTTATTGAGCCAGTCAAGAAGAAGCCCTTCTGTAGCTCGAAAGAAAATCATAGATCGATGAAGCCAGATTCAAGGATCTGATCAAAGCAAAAAACTACATGTTCAGCTCTGTTGAAAAGGCCATTCTTAAAACAGTTACACACAAGGATACATCAAAGTAGCTATATGGGATTCAATGAAGACCAAGTATCAAGAGCACTCAAGGGGTCCAACAAACACTACTACAGTCTCTTAGGAGAAACAACTGAGAGCTACTTTGAAATGACAAATGAAGAGTCACCATTTTGGAAGAGTAATGATGATCACCAACGATATGTGTAATTGTGGTGAAGATGTGAAGACTGTGGAGAAAATATTACCCGGTTTTGTGCAATAACCTACTGAGTATGGGACAATTGCAAGATCCTTGTTCAAGTGCAACTTCTACCATCTAAGAAAGGGGCTTATCTATCAAACTTGGATGACTAGAAGTGGGGATAAAAGCACTGAACAAGAAGAAAGTTGTGACATTAAAACTGAAGAAGAGGCCTATGAACAAGATGATGAAGTCAAAGTGCCAATCTTTTGGATTATCATAGGGTCAAAATACAGTTTAATGGGTAGAGGAGAGAAAGTTAAAAATTCACAAAAGTGACTTTCTGTTTGGAAAATATTCCAAAATTACGTGTATGTCCATGATCATCACATCACAAATAATTGAGTGTCTTGATTTGGGTCCACAAGACTCCTCTTTTTTTGCTTTTATTGATAGGTATTTTATATATTTAACAAAGAAACAAGCTAGCATGCACTTATGGGAGTTATACAGCCCTTGAAATTTTCATTTGATCAGTGTTATATAAAGAAATATGCATTTGGTCACATGTAATATGCATTTGCTATTATACACATTATGGCTATTGTAGAGCTTTTTCACATTCTATAATATGAGTTTGACTTAAGATTTTTTATAATCATAAAAAAATGTCTAGAAATACAATGACACAATATGACATGTGGATTCTTTAGTTGTAAAGTGTAGGAGGCAATTGACTCTTCCTTCTCAGAGGCGTCGAAACATCTATTCTATCCTTTAATTTTGACATACTTATGTGGTTTGACTACATAATGAATTAAAAAAAAAAAGGTTAAGAAAGATGTTTGTTTTTTGCTGGAAGTCAATATGTTGACTTTTTGTGTGCTTTTGATTATGTATCTTTATAATTCTTGCCCCAAGGAAATGATAACTAGTAGAAGTCAGCTCCTAGCTACAGCCAACTCATTAATGCTCTTATTGTCTAGTGGAATGCAACTAACTGATTCACAAAAAGGTAAGATGTTATTTATACAAACTGTTGTTTAATACTTTTTCATGTATTTCTTGACTATGTTCTTATTGTCTTGCGTAAATCATCTTTGATGATAGTGGTTCCATAATAGTTTAGAGGTAAAACAAGATTGTTGTATCATGTATGAATAGTAGCACTTTGCTTAATCTGTTTAATTTTATGCATCAATGTATAATTAGTTAATTTGGAATTGTTTCATTGATCAGTTTTATATGTTTAAAAGGTTCTATCTTGAGGGATAAGGATTTGCCTTTTTTAGATATGTCCTTATTCTGGAATTAGGAGTTTATAAGTTATAAATAGATAACCCTTTAAGTATCTTTTTACTTTATTCTTGAAATATAGAAAGAAAAAAAATACCACAATTGGTATTTTGATATGCTAATGTGGTTTGACCATTACACAACACTTAAAAAAATGTAAAGATGTATTGCTTTTTTTTAGGAAGTCAATATGTTGACTTTTGTGTGCATTCTCATATGCCCCATTGATATGAGAAAACTTGCAGAAGTATATTGCTATTATGGATAAAAGGTATGTGTCTATATTGATTTATATATAGTGTGTTCTTATATAAATGTATGTACGTTGATTATTTTGGTAAAAAAAGGTATAGTTCATTGCTAATATGTATAAGATGTAAAATTGTTATTATGTAAATTATGTTTTCATTGTGGATGCGTTCACTATATTATGATGAAAATAGTAAAGTATGTTGCTATTTCCTACTCTATTTTATACTAATTATATATGTTTCTTGGAACCTATTTTAGATAAATGAATTAGAGAGCATGCCGGGAAGTGAAGAAACGGGAGGAAATACAAGCCAAACTTCTTGGAAAAATGAATGATCTTTTGAAGCAATTCACAGGAAGATAAAAGGTAATATTAAAATAATTTGATATTTTAAGGGTTAATTGTGAGAAATAACAATGTATTTTACCAAAGTTCTTGATTATGACATCATACATTATGAAGTAGCAATCTACTTTCATACAAGTTGTAATTAGGAATTATGGCAAAAGTACATTTGCTATTATGAGTAAAAATATAAATTATTTTGTATAATCGTGAAAAAACTGAAATGGTTTCTATTTTAAGTTTATTTGAAAGTATGCAACTATAATGAGTAAAAACATAAAGTAAGCCCTTTATGGTCAACATTTTGAGGGCATTTAAGGTATTTGACAATATGTAAATATCTCTCTAGCTAACAACTCTCAATGATAGGTGTGGAATCTACGAGCTAATCAAGAAGGAATTCTGTATTGGTTGTTGACAATATTTGACAATATGGATTGAAATTTATGGTATTTGACAATATGGATTGAAATTTATGGATTTACTTTTATATTTGTTGGTTTTAAAATATAGATTTGATGTATGTTTAAAAAATTTGTGTGTTGAATATGTAATTATTTCTAGTTTTTAATTTCTCCATTAGTTTGTAAATTTTTTTAAAATGCCAAAATCCGTCGCTAATCTGTCACAAAAAAAATTTGTAGTCATTGTGAGATTCCGTCAGTAATCTGTTAGTAAGTTATTTCAGATTCCGTCGGTAATCCGTTAGTTATTTCAGATTCTGTTGGTAATTCATTAGTAAATTTTTCCAAAGGTTATCCATTGCAAACGAATTCCGTCTGTTGCAAAATATATTTTGTTGGTGATCCGTTACTATTTCCGATAGAAAAATCCGTCACTAAAAATTACCAATAGCTGTCAGAAATCTGTATTTCCAACAAACAATTAGTGACAAAAATAAACCGACGATTTTGGTGTGTTGCAATTCTGTCGGTAAAGAGCATTACCGACGGTTTGGCCGTTGGTAATGCTTTTTTTTTTATTTTTTATTTTTATTTATTTATTTATTTTTTTTATAGTAGTGTTACAATCTAGTCAACTGGTTGGTTCCTTGTGATTGAATCTGCACATATAGCACCAACTCACATATTCAAATTATCTTCATCTGTTAAGAAAAAAAAATGACATTTTAGATGCTCAAAACATAAACTTAAACAATATATACATCAAAAAAATAATTTTATTTTTGTATTATGATATCATTGATCCATAATGAATCGTAATTATTAATAAAACAGAATCTTATAAGCCCCAACTTTGTTGCTGTTGTTTTGTTTTTTTTTTTTTTTTTTTTTTTTTTTTTTTTTTCTCTATATTTAATTCTAATGTATTGTTATTTTGCCGGGTTTCCTTTTTCTTTTTCTTTGTTGAGTTTGTATTCAAGATTTGGCATTTTATTGAATACAACATGCTATAGGGAACTTTAAGTTTGCCTTATTTTGACCAATATTTTATGTTTCAACTTGATTTATTCTTTAATGAAAATTGCAAGCATCATGATGAAATATAAAATTCATTACTCCTATAATTTGACATAAGTATGTATCTTTCCTCTGTATTAAGGGTAACAATACTAACCTCATGTACTTGCAGCCTTTACATTTTTTATTAACATTTGGAATAATTAAATAAAAGCAACAGTATATTCAGTTTTAGTTAAAAGGTGGTGCAAAAATTTATACTATTATTCAATTACTTATTATTGGTTCAACCTGTAAGTAGAAATCCAACTGATGCCAACTATGAAACAAAATGCTATTACTTTTTCAATCCGAATTTCTTTGTTAATTGACTTCATCAATTGTTTTTATTGGACCAGATTCGGACTTGCTTTACAAGTGTGCAACCAACAACATACATGTAATTTGTAAGTCAATTATCACAAATACATTCACCAATCATCTTTCTCATGCATAATGTCAGATCTCAAGATGTAAAACCGAGTTATAACTGAAAGTGAGAGACTTAATAAGAATAATACATAAATATGTGAATTTAAATGCTATAACTTATAACAAGTTCACAAGTTACTATCATCATCATTTCAATACCATGAGTGAATGTCAACAACCAACTAATAATTATGCTAGAATAACAACAGATGTAGATTGTTCCATTGTAGATAAGAAAGTATACAGGAGAATAACTATTATAAATTGGAAAAAAAAAGAATGGTAGTTATATATGATTGACACTACAAGAAATTTCAATTTGGTCAAGGAATATTTCCGTAGCAAAAAGCTGAAATTTCGTAGCTAAAGTTGATTAACTACGGAATTTGCTACATAAACTTTCAATTAGACTCTGTAGCTTTATTTCTTGTAACAATATGTTTAGCTACGAAATTATAATCCCGTAGCAATTTTACTATGACAGTTTCTATGACATCTATTTCGTTGCAATTTGAGTCACAAAGTATTTCCGTAGCAAATTCCATAACAATTTTTCCGTAACTAATTCGGTAGCAATTTGTCCGTAGCAAATCCCCTAATGATTTTTCCGTAGCAAATTCCATATCAATTTTCCGTAACCAATTCCATATTTTTCCATAGCAAATTCCGTAATGATTTATCCGTAGCAAATTCCGTAGAAATTTTTCCGTAACCAATACCGTAGCAATGTTTCCGTAGCGAATTCCATAACGATTTTTCTGTAACAAATTCCGTAGCGATTTTTCCATAGTCAATTCCATAACAAATTCCGTAACTATTTTTCCATAGCAAATTCCGTACCCAATACCGTAGAAATTGTTCCATACCGTTATTCAATAAATTTTGGTTATTCAATGTTACTCATTATATAAATTATAAAAATACAATTAATATAAAGCTAAAAGTAATAAGTATTTCTATAGAAACTAAAAGAAATATCCGGTACATTAAAAAAATACATATTTCAAAATTAAAAGTTGCAACAAATTAAACACAAAATACTATTCGATACATAATACTCTATCACTAATCAATAAAAGTTTTGATGTGACAAAAATAAAAATGCTTCAAGAATGTTTTCCCATCTATTCAACACAAAAGATTGTACATTTCCATCTATTCACCTCTACAATAAAATATAATGATTTACACGTCTTAAAATAATTACACATTTTATTTTGATATATTTGATATTTTAATTTGATTTACCGGTAAATATAATGCACAAAATATGAGTCGTGATGCTGCCGACGTTACCTTCTGGCAACTCAAAGTATATAAGCCCTTGTCCAAAGGAATACATTGACAAAAACCAAAAATCTTAATATTGAAAACTAAAACTCTAAAAGCATATATGTTATGAGGGCAAGTTGATATTTATGCCCCTTGCAAAAAAAATTCAGTCAACCAAGATTTGACCAAGGGAAATATTCTAAAATCTAAATGAAATTGACACATGTAATTCGACCAAAATATGACCATATTAAAGCCATCTATGGTTCTGATGGGGTTGTGTTGCTTTGAAACCCTTAAGGGCTGGATCGCTTTGAAACCCTTAAGGGCTGGATCAGGGCCTTGGAATAGTTTGATACGGTTGTTAGTTCAACTTTGTGACCGTGGCTTAGACTTGCATCCCCTCACTCCAATTTGTGTTGGTAATGGGGCTGCTACTTCTTTTTGGCATGATGTTTGGAAAGAAAATGTTCCTCGTTCCCAAGTTGAATAAACTCTCATCTCTATGAGAAATCGAGCCATTCATAGCAATCTACCATTTATTGGTCCCACACACAAACTCACCAATCAAGAATTTGCATCAGGAGAAATTCATTAAGACACAATCATCTCGGACGATCCTCCGAAGTCTCCTCATCATGACGTCGTTCGTTAAGAATTTGCATCAAGAGAAAACATCGACTTTTGGCTCTCTTTTTGGTTTTTGGTTTGGTGGGAGATGTCTTTTGTTGGCTGCCTTCTT